TCTTCCTCTTCCTCTTCCTCTTCCTCTTCCTCTTCCTCTTCCTCTTCTTCTTCTTCTTCTTCTTCTTCTTCTTCTTCTTCAGAACTGCACTGAATCTGGTCCAACTCTGTATCCTCGTTGGCAAGAAAATTTCAGCAAATCTCCAACTTTACATTTGTCTTTCTTGGTTTCAACAAATAAGTATTGTTGTAGAAAGGGAATGGGGCATTATCTTTCTTGAAATGTAAAATAATTAGAGTGCATATTTAACTGAAAAGTAGTTTTATCTCTCTCATATACATTCACATGAAAACATTAGTAACCCTCTTGCTTATGAAAAATGCTGCATATTACATTTTGTATAGCCCCCAAATTCACATTGAAGTTTGAGAAATGTTTGCTGATGTAATATATTTGTTAAAGGATTGAATAATATAACTTATTTTTACTAGATATGAATTTCTGCAAAGAATTATTAATGTTAAGTTCACAACTACCATAACTACTCCATTCTGACCACACAGAATCATTCTTTTATAGTTGAAACTAATGCTATACCATATATTTATAACATCTTCAAAGTTATTTCAGTCTAATATATTTGAGAAAGTAGAACAGGCAAAATAATTTCTAATGTATTTGAGGTTAGGAAAATAAAACGAGTGTATTTTAAAATATAAAAGAGCATAAGAAACATATACAAAACCTTAACCTTAGTTGAATGTTTGAATATTTACAACACACTAAGTAATTTTGTTGTATTTTCAACTCTTATTATTAACTGTTAATTATTCTGACTCAAATTAAGAATGTGTAACATTCTCCATTACAGTTAATTTTTTAAAACTTTTTGACATTGTTAATTGTTACAAAAATAAACATGTTTTTGTTTGAAATCTCTCTAATTTATAAAATTAAAGATTGCAATTTTAAAAGTATGGTTATACATAAAATTCCTACTTTCAAGAATCAAGTGTTAGAATACCATTAGCAACAGAAATTAAATGGAAGCTTTAAAAGCCATATCTAAAGCAAATAACCAAAACCTCACATTGGGCCTGGCAATAGAACACACAAGAATGACATAAATATTAGAGTGTCTGGAAACAATTCCCACATAATTATATTAATATTGATTATTTTAGATTAGTAGAGAAAAATCAGCCTTTAGAAAACTCACAGCTATTAAAAGTCTGGGGTCACTCAGATATTCACCATGACCATAAATAAATTCTAATAAGAAGAGGGTTTTTGTTTAGTAACCAGTTACCAAGGGTGTGGAACCAGATTGTGAAAGTCTTGGAGTTCATCCGAGATTAAAATATCTCATCTTGTAGGGAAGCTTCTTTAGCAGGTATGTAAAGAACTTTAAATAGGTTCAGGAATTCCCTGAAAGTGGCCAGATTCAGTAGGCCCCTTACTCCCAAGTAAACAAGCCAAGCTGATGAGTCATTCTCAGACAAGGCAAGCTGCAAAGAAGATACTCAGACAAGCATAGATACAAAATAGAAGACTTCATAGAGACCATATCAGCTGCCTGGAAGAAGCAAAAACAAGTCCATCTGCCTGGAAGAAGTTTAAATCAACCGAGTCACTTGGAAAACATTTTCCAACCCGTTTAGCTACCTGCAGGCTGTTCAGTGTATTCTACGTTCCATGCTTCTGTGGGTAGTTACCCAGGCTGGGTGGGCCTTGGTGATACAGCTGTCTTTGAGACATTTCTATTCTTATAAGTAACTCTTCACTCATATTTCAGTAACCCCAATAAAACTCATTGGTCATAAAGCTGGGCTTCGGTGGTATCTGTATGTTGATCTGTCATGAACTCCTTATCTGGAATGACTGAGTGGATGCCTATATAACATCTCCACAGGAAAACTTTTGTCACATTCATCAATAATTTCATAGCTTTTAAAATTTTATATGTGTAATGCTAAGACCAATGCTGAGGCCGAGGGATAATTATTTTCCAAATGAAGTAATTTCCCTTACCCTTACATTCTATTTGAGCACTATATTGTAGAAAGCCCTAATTTCATACTCTTGAACTTTTTATAATCAGAAGGAAATTAATTGTTACCATTTGTTTAGTTTGAATTTTTTATTTGTGGTGAATTAATTGTTTATGATACATCTTTATATGTCTCCTAGACTAATCTCAAATTCAAGATGCTCATACTTCTACCTCCCAAATTCTTGGATTACAGGTGTATATCACCTTGACAGATATAGACATTCTTAATCCCTTATATTTGAGTTGACCCTTGATACTGCAAATCAAATTTCTAAATTTCTGATGCTATCCTTTCCGAAGGGATTCTGGCCAGCCCAGGCATGGCAAACATGGCTCTGTCAGGCCTTGCCCTTCTATCTGTTCCCTCTGCTTGGCTATAAACCATTAGATTGCATCCCGAAACTACCCACCAAGGTCTAGTCCTTTTTTGGCCTCTTCTTCCTCCTGAGGTTGACTACTATGTTCCAGCTATCAAAGTATTGATGTCCAACAAAAAGCCCCCTTTTGCTTACCTAAATAACAATCCCAAATAAAATTGTACACCTCATCATGAAGTGTTTAAACTTTCCCACTTTCACAACAGAATTAAGGTTTCAGTTCTCACAGAAGGGCAAACGTGTATCTCTTCAAATAAATGGTCATTCATCAACAAATTACATTCTGAGATAAGGGAAAGAGCACAAGGCCTGAGTCAGCCCCACAATATCTCAAGCATAGTTCCTGCCACCCTCTTGAAACTTACCCAAGTATGTCCAAAGATAAAGCCTCAATCAATTAAAAATACACTATTGAGTAACCAATAATGTTTAAGATGACCTAGCTATCTATGAAATTCCTCTATTCATGCTAAAAAGGAGCCAGCACGCTCCTCTCAGCATAATTGCCATTTCTGACAAGTGAATGATTCTGCATGCATTCTGAAACATTAATAATTCTCTTTGCTCTTGCTTACTATTTGAGTCTGGAGTCTTCCTTCAATGTTTCCTCAGACCTTACAATCCTAACAACAGGTTCCCCTTCTACCTTTATAAATCACCATTTTTCCTATGTCTCCTCTCTATCCAGAAGCAGTTCTTTGTCCTGAGCCAATACTTTCCTTTTGCTTTCAATTTTTTTCTCTTCCAAATTGTCCATCTCTTTCCTTTTCATTCTTCAAATCTGAGTGATATAGTTTTATACTTCAAATCAATAATTCTGGTACTGGAGACCTAATTTAAATACCTAAAAGCATGTTTATATGATAATGAAACAATTATATATTAATCATAGATCCTTGATATTCTCAGATCAAAAAAGGAATAATTAGTTTATTTTTGCCTGTTGTTTATTTGTTTATGGAAACAGAGACTCAGCATGTAGCCCATCATGTTCTCAAATCTAAAACCTCGTGTTCCAGGCTCATAAGAAACACAAGAATGTGCTATCTACATCTGATGGACACATTATTTTTTAAAAAAACCAGATTATTAAACTGCTGAGATGGCTCAGTCAGTGAGAGAGCTTACCTCCATGCTCAGTGACAGGAGTTCAATCCCTGGGACTCACATGAGGAAAAGGCAGAGCTGACTCACAAGTTCTCTGACTTTTTCATGTTTAATGTGGTGTGCAAACCTCCATTGAGAAACATAAGCACTCTTTGTAAACATACAGGTTAAACAAATGAATGCAATGAAATACTAAAAACAAATAGGATCATTCTTAGTCCTCAAAAAATGCTTTTCCCAGTTCATATTAAAACAGAAGGAAGATTCTGGGAAGTTCATGTTTTAAGTAATACATAAATAATTTTTTTTGCTATGTAAAAAAATATTCAGAAAAAATAGTACTCACCATAGCAAGAGGGTTTCTCAGACCATCCATCAGTTGTACATATTATGGAACCTTTAGTATCTTTATGTCTATTTTCATATCCAACATGGCATTCATAGTCTAATTCATCATTGATTTTAAACCATGTGCTATTAGTTTTAGTTCCAGCATTCTCAAATACAGGCCTATCACAAGACTCTAAAACAAAGTAAAGTGGAAGATTTTATTTTTAATGTGTCAGTGGACAATCTGAGCAATTCCCATGAGAACAAAAGTGGTTCCAGGTTAGTATTTGATAACAATTAAATACTATATAAAAACAACCTTAGAAGACCAACAATAAATCATTATCCCAAAGCAGTTATTAAATGAAAATATACTTCTATTAGCTTTTACTGTCTTAATTAAGTTTTATAAAACTTTATTTTAAAAATAGTTTCTTAGCTTATTTTTCTTATACTTATAATATATTATAAATAAATAGACAAGTGCAAATATATTTATTTTATGAAGTGCAATAATAGTTTGTGAATTAAAATAGTATATTTAGTAGTTTATATGCAACATAGAATCTAGAAAAATAGATTAGTTAAATTTAAACCTTGTGCATTTGTTATATTGTATTAGAGGTATTTTTCTTTCACAAAAAGAAAATCCAAAAAGTCTTGCTAATTATAATTTAATGTACATAAATCTTACATGGTAATAATTTTCATTGTTTTATCTTTAAATAGATCCTGTAAAACTACAATAAATGAAAATTAGAAATTATGAAAGCAGTAAATATCATAAACCACACTTAACATTTAATTTATGTTAAATAGTTCTTTAAAAAATAGCACTGGCTAGCTTTCTGATAAGTAAGACAAGCTGAATTAATTACTCTTAGAAAACCTTCATTATCTGTAGGTCCTAAAACACCAAGGTTTGCTGCTACTTATAAGCATTTTCTTCTTTCTTTTCAATATCATGATATTTGGAAAGAATTTCTAAGAGGGAGGCCTTCTGAAATTGACTTTAACTGATAGTGTCAAATATATACTATAATGTTATCACATATTCTGAGATATAAACATACATACATCTTCACCTAGAAATTTACTTTTATTTCTAGGAACAAAGTCATTGATATGCAAGGAAGAACATCTTTAAAAATGGAGCTGGTCAAAAAACCTTCACTATGTTTAAAAGTATAGGGTATTTTGAAGCATTTAACATGGATATGAGCTGAAACTCTATAATACAAAAATGAGTCCAAAATGAAAAACTAATAGCACATTTTTTTGAAGTTTAAAACTCATCAAGAACTAACACCAGCCACTTATAGAAGAATAAAGCTAAACCTTTATACATCACCAGTATAATGGCAGCAATAAAATGAAGTACTCACTGATGCATGAAGGTTGAGCTGACCAACCATTTTCGAGGCAGGTAATTGTTCCTGATGTCTCTCCATTCGATGTTACAAATCCCTGTTTACATCTATACTGTGTTTTTCTATTTAGATCATATGTAGAGTAAATTCAGAAAGAAACCCATTCTCAATTTCTATATCTGAATATGAGCATGTCTCTAAATGGGAAAGAAGTAAAAAGGTTGAGAGCATGTTATACAATAATATTTTAAAAATAGTCATTAATCACTTGTACATGAATACTTGAAATAATCAAAATCATTCACATTACTGAACAAGGAAAACAAATAATAGGTTTAAAGATATACAATATATAGTCTAAAATGTTTTCTAACATATCAAGATTTAAATCACTCATAATTCCATCTAAAATGTATTACTTTTGTTTGTTCAAGGCTATCCACAATTCTACAGAAAGGCGGAACTATAAACAATATGTTTTTTTTTCCTGCAGTTTCTTTAAACCTGAGAATAATTAGCTCTCTTGGGCACCTAGACTTATTTACCCAGCTAGGGTTCCTGAGGTATGGTGAAAATCTTGGAAAATATCTGTTTACACAGTTAAAACGGAATCCAGTGCCAAGAATTTGAAATGCCTTTGTAACCTCATGACTAAAATACAATGGATGTGCAATATTCAAAAAAGATCACGAGAACCAAACAAAAAATTAATCTTCTCATGACAACATGATGTCCCCTAAGTCTTAAATAACTGGACTTGAAAGCATAAAAGTAAATTTTTAAATTTCACTTTTCTTATCAGTTGAATAATATTTCATTGTGAAATTGTGAAATTTACCAGAAAAAAACATATTTCATAAAAATAATAATTAAATCCAGTTACTAGATTTCGTCCCAGAACACATATTTGCTTGCTTATGGATAAGTAGGAAATCAAAGAAGAAAACACTACATGTTTTATATAAATGCCAATAAAAAATTTAGATAATATATTGGGAGGAAAAAATAAAAAGTGAAGGGGCAGAAACTTCATCAAACAACTGAAAAACAATAAAGTTTAGAATTCAATGAGGATTAAAATTCAATAAAAGTTTTCACTTTGTTAACTTGGAAAGGAACTAAATACTAACAAAAGCACAAACCCTGAAAACTCCAAAAGGTAAACACATCATGCAGAAGCCAAATGAGAGAAAAGTAATGGAGTTTTACTCAGCGGTAAAAAACAATGACATCTTGAATTTTGCATGCAAATGGATGGACATCACTCAAAGATACCCTAGGAAATCAAGAAAAAGTGATCAAACAGGTAATGGAAACAGCTCAAGACTTGAAACCTGAAATGAAGGCAAATTCATAAGTGGATTCTAGCCATAATTAAATGTCTTTGAGCCTATTATTCGAGATCTTAGAGAAGCTAAATAAGAAGGTGAAAGTGAAGAAAATCATGTACTTATCCTCCTGGAGACTGGAAATAGACAAGAGTCCCAGGTAACCTCGGGTGCATGGGGGCGTGGGTGGGAGGGTTGTTGGAAGGGGAGAGGGTTAGAGAGAAGGGAGTAGGGGAAGAATGGGGAAAACTCGGTGGACTGAGATGGGGGGAGGGAGGAAGGATGGATATGGGATCAGGGAAGAATATATTTCAACTAAGGGAGTCATTTTAGGGTTTACAGTAGACTTGATTATAAATGGGATCCCAGGTCCAAGGAGAGATCCCCAGACTGTTCTCTAGACAGAGGAGAGGGTGCCTGAACCGGCCTTGGCCTATAACCATACTGATGAAGATTTTGCTTATCATCGTAGATCCTTCATCCGACGATGGATGGCGATACAGACGGAGACCAACCTTGGAGCACCGGACTGAGCCCCCCCATGGCCCAAATGAGGGGCAGAAGGAGAAAGAACATGAAAAAAACTCAGGACCGCGAGGGGTGCGATCACCCACTGATACAAGGGGACTGATCTAATGAGAGTTCACCAAGGCCAGTTGGACTGGGACTGAATGAGCATGGGATCCAACCAGATTTTCTGAATGTGGCCGGATTCTCTGAATGTGGCTGGCCCGGAGCCTTTCTGAAAAGCCACTAATAATGACACTGGGACTTGTTTCCTCTGCATATACTGGATTTTTGGGATCCAGTCTGTTTGGATACTCACCTTCCTGGACCTGGAGGGAGGGGGGAGGAACTTGAACTTACCACAGGGCTGGAAGCCCTGACTGCTCTTAGGGATGGAGAAGGAGGAGGAGGGGGAGGGGGGTGTGGGAGGGTGTTGGGAGGAGGGGTGAAAATGGAAACTTTCATAATTTAATAAACTTTGAAAAAAAAAAAAAGAAAAGCAGAGAAGAGAGAAAACATTGAGCAGAAAATAGCGGGTCCCTACCACCATTCTCCCTTAGCTTCTCTGGCCAGATGTCAGCATACTACAACAAAGTACAAGACTCTGTGATGCAAGACAGCAGCAGAAAAAAAAATGATCACAAATTTTAAGGTCAAAGGTTCCCAGAATGCCTGCCATGTGCGATATTTAAATTGAAAAAGTGGAAGATTTCCTTATGAGCACCTAAATTCTTTAATAAGATCCCAGCAGAGGTTTATTGATATTCTGAACACACTAGCTAGAAAGAAAAAGCTCCCAAGCCTGTCTCAATAAATTTCAAAGGACCAATATGATCAATGAAACTCAGTTTTACTCATGAAGATATCCAATCCTAATCATTAGCAGCAAGTGGTTTTAACAAGGTACTGATTTTTTATTCAAAGATTTTGGTGGTTGTGAAAGAAAATACACTGTGGCAACAT